GTCATGAAATATAAATAAATACAATACTATTATTTATTTAATCCCGACTATAGGTCTCGAATACGGTTAAGATTTACCCTTATTAACGGTGAATCCCAAAAGGTCGAATCCAATGTTGATAAATGAGGCGCTAATTCTCAATACAATTTACTTACCCGTTGAATTATTAAACCGAAATGTATGGATACATACATTTTGGCTTAATAAACTTAGTAACGTTAATATTGGTAGATATTATAGGTATGTATTATAATACTTACCAATATTAATGTTGCTAAGTTTATTACACAAATTGATTTTAAGAAAAATATTGCAAGTCACCTGTACCATCCATCACATATGTACGTACTCGTACATAGTATTTAAATAACTCGTTTAGGCCTTAGTTCAAATTAAAGCGAGATGGAAACTTAATATTAAGTATATCTTGAAGGAGTTTTAGGAACTTTCTCAGCACCTTTAACATGCCACTATATTCCATTTACCAAATAGAATGGGTACCTTGGCTTTTAAAATTTTTACGTTCCATGGTCTCTCAGCCAGGTTACAAAACAATATATAGTAAATTTGTTATAGTATACCAAAAACAAAACAATATTTGTTGCAATTGTGATTTTAAGTAAACATTACGTATATTAAGTAGACAGATAATGAAATGACAAAAAGATAAGTAAATTACCACAAGTACTTTTTTTTGCACACACTCGTAGCCCCGCATTAGGGAAACCCTGTGTCGCGCGTACTTGACAGTACTGGATGCGTAACACGAAATATTTAGCCATAGAAATTTACACCATTGAATCGATAAATCGAATTGGCTATTGTGTAACTAGCGTTAATGTGAGTGCATAGTTCTTGTACGTACGTGGGTCATTTTCTGTTGTTTTAAAATTGCGTGTTGTTTTTGGAGTAATTGTTAGATATCGTTTCGGTGCTGTTCATTTCATACTTTGTTGTTGACTTTCTGCTTTGTTGATATTGATTTTTATTTGTTGTGTAAAATAATAATTGAATCCTTTTTTTGTTTACAATTTGTTCTTATATTATTGTATCTAAATCGAGTCTCTTCTCGTAGCAAATTATCTCGATAAGGTATCTAAATATTTTTTCTTTCATTCAATTTTACATCACTACATATCTAGAAACTTCAAATCTCAAACGTCACCGTACTCATGCTATGTGAAATGAACTACACGTTATTATCAACCAAGACGCCAAATAAATAAATAAGTAAAAGGTGGAGCAGAACAACTAAATTGTAAGGGAAAAAACTTAGATGACATAACCCTCAGATTACAAAAGAATAGGCAGATGGAGTCCGCCGAACACTAAAGTGAAGCCACCAAAGCAAATACAAATTCAAAAGCGAATACAATCTCGCGTCAGTACTAAAACAGCGTCGCGTTGTTTGCACGTCACGAGTGATTAGTTATTTTATGTTTAAAAATGCCTTTTTGTGTCTTTAAACATTGTAAAAATTGTTCACAAAAAAAATAAGATGGAAATTTTTTCACGTGGTGACTAGGTGACTATTGTTAATTTAGCTGTTTTACAGGTTATTTACCCGATATTCGTGTGTGTTGCCAGTTTATATCAAAATTTCCTTAAATTAGGTAAATACGCATGGGTAATAGGAGCATCGAATAATTTATATTTAATTTAAATTAAATAATGCATGCATATACGCACAGAATGGTCCAATTATAGCAGTCCAAAATTATTTTTTAAGTAACTCAGATTTACCTAAATTGTTCTCAAACCAATGTCTAATCGCCATAATGTAACTACATAAAAGAAACCGTTCAAAAACAGCTATAGATACAGAAAAGTGCACATGTCATAAACAAAGTGATTTTGTAAGAAAATATGTCATAAACAGAGTGATTTTGTAAAAAAATTATTATAATGTATGTACATAACTTCAGGTTCGAAAGAGTTTTTTTGGGAACTAAACAATTTTTGTCAAATTAGAAGACAATCGTCAATGCTATGAATATGATTACAAAGTTAATTTAATAAAAAAAAATATAGAAAAGTATATTTTCGTTGTGAGATTGCACTACTAAGATGTGTACAAAGTAAAGGTTATTAAGATATTGTGTAACTGTGATTGTAATAAATATTAGGGGTTAAAGTATGAAATTGCCGTTTTATTGCAATAGGTTCTTTGAATTTTCATAGAATCTTCATGGTTTAAGGTTTTCGAATGAAACTTTTTTCAAATGGTTTCTGTGATTTTTTTTTTAAATTTGAAACATTGAGTATCGACTTTCAATTGTTTTTGTTATTCAATTTAGACAAGAA